CTTATTTTTTTTTAACTTGGATAAGTTGAATGATAACTTATTCAGAATAGTTGCACAGAAAGCGAGTTGAGACATGTGAATAGAATTGCGTGTACTTATCAGAATCAGAATCGTAACTGCCATACGAACATTCATTCAAGATGAGTTTTCCTGCCCATAATTTTAGGGGGGATTTCAGGGGAATTTTAGATTCCGAGATAGAGAAAACTCTTTCATGATGTTTAGTTCGTACAACTTTGGCCGATTTCGAAGATAACACAGAAAATAAAACAGAATTAGATCATGAGAAACAAAGTGGAAAAGAACAAGAGTCGATAACACCACAGTCAGAGAAAATTGTTGACTGCCTTGAACCTGGTTGTGTTTGTCGTTTTAGAAAATAGGCTTATGTTGCAGAACATAGTTTATTTGATAAACAAAAGGAAAAATTGAAAAAAATGATTCTATTAGATAAAAGTAAAGTTTTATTTAAAGAACAGTTAGAAATAGTTCAGACTCGGCCGTCACCACTGTTAGCATCATTTCCGCTTGTTAAAAACAGATCAACATTAACAACATCTGCTACACAATCATTGCTAAATGTTTATTCAACCGCACATTCAAATATATACTATAATTAAGATTCTGTTCAGAATCTGGTTGAATCCTGGTAGAATTCCAATTCTAGTTCTACGAGTTGTATTAGTTCACATTTAGATTCTCTCTACGAATGGCAGATTCTGCTCAATTCTGCTGTAATTCTGCCAAAAATCTGGTACAATTCTACTAGAATTCAAGGGGGCATCAGAGTGAGTAGTGATAGTTTGCTGAGTTATAGTAGAATGACACCAGATTTTGCCAGAATTACAGCAGTAATTGAGTAGAATCCGCCAATTCATAGAGAGAACCCAAATGTGAACTAATACAACTCGTAGAACTAGAATTGGAATTCTACCAGAATTCAACCAGATTCCGAACAGAATCTTAATTATAGTATATATCTGCATGTGCGGTTGAATTCTACAGAAATTTTCACGGAACGACGTGATCATAAAACGACATCCTCCAGAATCTACGGTGCATGAATTCTAGAGCCGGAAAAGGTCTAGATTGTTAAATTTTGTTCTTCTTAGACCTGGTTGAGTCGAGAGCGAGTGTCTACGGGCGAAAATACGAATACCAGACACCCGGGAAAACTCATATGTGCACCTCTGAACGAATTGGGACAAACCTAGTTCATGTGCATCATGTCCTTACATACCGGTTGATCTGGCGACCTATTAATATTAAGTCTCGACTAGCTGTGACTCAGACTCGAGACTCAAACGGGGTTTACAGCTTAACCTATCTCCAATCTAGTCCAGTTTCGAAGAGTATCATTTCGAATGGTACCGTAACATCCACCTGATGAGACCCTTAAGCAAGGTCGAAAGGGTTCGTGGTAGCTTAAGTAGCGAATAATTCTAACAACAACCAAGTTGTAGCGAGAACTCTAAGTATCTAAACGTGATAAAACCAAATAACGCAGTTATATTGTATAATGTTGTTTCTTCGCACAAACTACATGTTTTTTCCCGAAGAAAACGGTGTTTCTCCACAAGAACTTCATATGTTTTCTTGAATAAATCCGGATTTCTGCACAAGAAGTTCATGTTCATTTCCACAAACATAAAGTTATTGTGGAGAAGCACGGATTTCTTCCGGAAGAAACATGAAGTTCTTCTGGAGAAACTCTTTTTTTGTGTGGAAAAAACGTATAGTTCGTGCGAAGAAACAACGCTTTCTACAGGAAAAAATATGAAGTTCTTGTAGCGAAACACGGAATTCTTCAGGAAGTAACATGAAGTTCTTGAAGGGAAACGGCGATTTCTTCAGGAAAAAACGTGAACTTCGATAAAGCTATGCCCAAGACCTGATGGTTTTTGTGAGAGGATTTTTTAGTGAATACAGAAGTTATATGTATGTTATGGATAGTTTTGTATTTGTGCAACGAATACATTTCTAGAGTCACTGGACAGCTGTGGGATGATGCTGGTACTATTCGAAGTAGTCTCTTTTTTAATGTATTGAGAATCCAGGGAAACTCAATGTCAGTTTGTACTATTCGTTTGGTTCGTAATGAATATGGTTGAACAAGAATAGATGATTTTGACCGAAGAACGCCTTCTCCTACGTCATTATTACCTGATTTTCAACCATTAAAAGAGATAAGTAATCTTGTGAGGAATGAAGAATTATTAAGAAATATAAGCGATGTGTAAATAATTTTGACAGTCACAGCAAGAAGCCGAAATATTCGACCTTTTACAAGCAAGACAGTACAGTCACGAGTCGTTGCTTCGTTTATAACCTCCGGTTTCTCGAAAACGTAACCTAAATAATGACATTTTACTCTTGTGTTTTCTAATGAATATTATAATTTTTTTTAACTATAATAAAAATGGAAAGCGAAGTTCGTAATATTCTTCTAAATTACATCTTTCAACAGACTTGCCACTACTTGTTCTGCTTGCGGTACTGCTGGAACTCTACCGCCTGCATCCTGTTGGGCTGCTCGAAATCTCCCCATTGTTTCCTTGCTTATCTTTGGTGCTACAGATCTAACTTCTTCAAAAATTTTGCTGTTAAATGGTCTACTTTCATTACATTCGTATAAGGATATAATGATCTGTATTAAAGTGTCTACTTGATCGAAGAGTTCTCTCTCAGAAGCTTCATTATTGATTGCAAAATATCGACGGTTACAGCTATGAATGCCAATAGTTCTCTCTGTCCATTGGGATAAAGATATTCATGAATTGTTTTCTTTTTCTTTTGTAGAATATCCAATCCTGTGAATATGACAATACAATATTTTAAAACATCGTTCCCAAAGATCTCTGAAATACGTCTGACAGCTCTTTCCTCTTCTTCCGTAAATTTACTGAGGTCCAGAACGACAAGAAACGCATGAGGTCCATCTCCTGTCATAGAAATGGCTTTAGATATCTCGCGATAGGTATCATCTTTTTTGTTGTTATCCTGTGTCACATCAAAAAATCCTGGCGTATCGATTACAAGAAGATCCGTATTGTCATCTAATGATCGCACACCAGCACATGTTTCTGTAGTAATTGATGTACTCGAGAGGTCAGTATGAAAAACGTTTGATTTAAGCAAAGAATTTCCTGTTGAACTTTTACCTGTAATTCAAAAGATGAAAGAAATTGCTAAATCAAAGAGAATTCCATTAATCTTAACCTAACGGCTCCAGTTTTTCCTAGCAGGATCACAGGAAGAATATTTTTGGTACTTGTCGAAGAGCTCATTAATAGAATAAAAATTTTTGAGTCGCTTACATCAATTAAACCTCGTGAGAACTGAAGCTACACACAGAAAGAAATAAAACCATAGAATTCAAAATGAGACACGAACAGTTTTTCTTTTTCGCATTTGACAACAGTATTTACTTTAGAAATTTTTGTTTCTTACCTTCATTGTGACATAAATAGAAAATAATCTCAGCTTTTTCTTCATCCACATGACGAGTTCCTTATTTTGCATGAAATTGTTCTATCTGTGTCGAAAAAATCCTTTTAACTTGGGTTTTTACCTCTAAGCTTTTAAAACAAAGAAAGAAAGTGCCACTATCAATGCACTAACAAACCTTTATCCCGACAGTTAACGTAAAAGAAAGATCAGGCTACAAACATGGGACAATGTTGCTCTAAAACTTCTAAAAAACCGAAGAGAAACGCAGTCGTTATTTCATTTACGCGTCCACTACAGCCAACAGCGTCTGAATGTGTTTCAGTACAAAAAGTAACGGTACCAACACCGCCACTACCAGAGACAGCAATATCGCAATTTGGAGAAGCTGAAACTCCTAATCACATTCAGCAGATAATATCGTCCACTTTGATATCTACCGCTCGGATATTAACATCGACAAATGTTGAAGAAAACTTGGAAGATTTGACAATTGTTTGGCTGGATGCAAATATTATATTGTACACGTCGAATGATTCTGTTGACACTATAGCACAACTGCAAAAAATTGCCAATTTTGTGAAAGTGTTTTTAGATGCTGACGAATGTCTTGATTATGTCAGATCACTAGAGAATGAGAAAATATTGCTTGTTACATCCGGAGCATTAGGAAAAATCATTACACCGTTGATTTACGAGTTACCTCAGATAGCTAACATTTATGTATTTTGTGGAAAGAAAGACAATCATCAACAATGGGCAAGTCATTTTAAAAAAATTCGTGGCGTTTACGATGATAAGGCTGCATTAATAGCAATAATTGGCGCAGATGCCAGAATTTTTATTAAAAATTTGGTCCCTATGAGTATTTTTACCGATGGAAATGAATCTTCCATCCGTGACTTGGACAAAGATTCAGCGGCATTTATGTGGCATAAATTACTTTTGGATATAATATTGCGAATGCCAAGCACGGATAATGATAAAACGAATATGTTAGAGTTATGCCGTACTTACTATCGCAATAAGGAAGTTGAACTGAAATTCATCGACGAATTTGATCGAAGCTTCACGCCAGAACATGCAGTATATTGGTACACCCGGGATGCTTTTGTTTATAGAATAATCAACAAGTCCCTCCGAGGAGGTGATATTGAAGTTATATTTGCTATGCGATTCTTCATCAAAGCTCTTCACGAACAATTACGGTACGAATATATGCGTACATCGACATACGCGTACATCGACATCCTCCACGAGAGAATAAATAAGGTATATCGGGGACAACTAATGGGAGTCAACGAGATACAGGTACTTCGAAGTAATATTGGCAAAAAGATTTCAATGAACACTTTTTTATCTACTACGCTTAATAGAAACGTGGCGCGGATGTTTGTAGACGGCTACAACGGCGACCTGGTACGTGTACTTTTTGAAATGGAACTAACTACGAGAGGACAGAATCATCCTTTCGCACTCATCAGTCGCTTATCTACGTTTGGCGAAGAATCAGAAGTTCTTCTGTCAGTAGGCGCTGTATTTCGAATCAATTCTGTTGAATTTTTCGATGAATGTTATAACGTACATTTAACTTTAACGAGTGACGAAATTCCGCGAGTAAAAGCTTTAGTTGCTCATTTGAATGGTGAAAGTGATGATGAGTCACCGATACTAACGATGGGAAACTATTTAGCTGAGATGGGCGAATTAGGTAAGGCAGACAATTTTTACAGACTGTTACTTCGAGACCTGCCTCAAGATCATAAAGATATTGCACCAATCTATAACAATATCGGATGGTTACACTATGAAAGGGGACGCTACATATATTCTCTAAAGAACTACGAAAAGGCATTAAATATTCTAAAGACATCTTCTAATCCAAACAATGAAGTGTTAAGCAGTATATTGAATAATATGGGTATGGTTTATTATGAAAAAGGCGATTACAACGAAGCAACAAACAAGTACGAACAGTCTCTCGAATTAAAGTTGAGCACTGTACCACAGAATTTTTCATCAATAGCAAAAACCTACAATAACATTGGCCTCGTTTATCTAAAAAGAAAATCCCGAGCTATGGCGTTGAAAAATTTTAACGATGCACTTGATATTCAAACGAGACATTTACCACCGAATCATCATGATTTTGCATTAACACTAAACAACATTGGCTGTGTACATTTAAGCAAAGAAGAAAATGAGGCAGCGCTAAAGAAATTCAAAGATGCATTAGAAATTCAAAAAGTGTCACTTCCCGCAGATCACGTCGATTTTGCTACCACTTACAATAACCTGGGTCTTGTTTACGATAAATTAGGTGATTTGTCATTGTCTCTAGAAAATTATCGATTATCATTGAACTTTAGATTAAAACGTTTATCACCCAATCATCCAGATTTAGGTGTAGCATACAATAACATTGGATTAATTTATAAGAAAATGAATGATTACCAGCGAGCTTTAGAATTTTGTGAAAAAGCATACGAAATTGCTAAAGCATCATCCGTTACAAGTCAATCCAACATGAATATTTATTTAAGTAACATTGAGACTGTGAAACGTTTCAGGTGAATAAAAATCCTGCTCGTCTGATCATTCTCAATCCATAGAGGAAGAGTACCACCATTGACGTTCGTGGATGTTTCTAAGTGAGATCCGAAGAAAGGTGTATTCCTATTAACTTAATGTTTTTATCAAGTGAAGCGCTACCCCTAAAACATAGATTGGGGCTAATTTAATATTACGTATTATTTCTCTAAGCAAAGGTTTTTGGATTAAATTTAAGTAAGTTGAGTAAACTAAATATTGCTAACAGACAGATGAGTCCCATAAAATTATTAATCAACACTTTGCAGATTGGAATGAATTCGCATGGAAATGCAAGAATTCGTAAATGAGGAACTACGATGATTATCCGAAGTTGAAAAGAGTTGCCATATTGGTTGAAGTGCATGTAAATGGCACATTGCATTCAATGTACAAACGAAGTCGTTTTTATGTTTAATGTAAGAAGTCATTCAAGACTAGA